TTTCCTCCGTGTGGGTTTCAAACTGTGCGAACCCTCAAGAGACTCGCGCTGCCCTCCTGAACCTCTTCGGCTTGACCAACTGTGCACAGTGCCCCTCGGACAGCGGCTGGTCATCCAAGGACATACACCGCACCGCTCTCTTCTGGTACGCAGGATCCGGACCACTGAAACGCCTTGAGACACACGGGGATCGGGGGGCGGTTCACGTTGGAGGTATCTGGAAAGCATTTAGATGTAGTTGGACTCTAACCTCTGAGATCAGCCAGTCTTGACTCAAACTGCCAACAACACCTCCTTGTGACCTTTCGAATCATTTCCGAGGTGCTTTTGCTCAGGACAAGCACGCATGCAGTCCCCAAAGGGGCCGGCCACCCAAGCGCTCGCAACTCCGTCTCCGATCGCATTGGGACGTGAGCGATACCTGGGATCGGACCAAATTGAAGGTGGAAACGAAAGAAGGCCTTGCCACTGCACACACCCACTGATATAGCAAACAGGAAGAGCATGGAAGAGCCAATGAAACCGTCCAAGCAGCTGGATCAAAGCATTGTCATCACTGAATGAACAGTTCGGATCGGTAATCGCTCCTCCCCAGGCCCACTAGGAGACTGAAAGACCGAGACCCATAAAAATGGTCGCTCAAAATGGGGGAATTGGTTCTCAACCATGCAGTTCCTCAAAGCTTGAAAAGAAAACGCGTTTGAACAGTGACAGGAGGATGTCCTGCTGACAGTAAGATGCGTGTTGCCAGAAGCCACACCTTGGGACGCAAGCCGGTCCCTGTCGTGCAAATGATACAAACTAGGGAAACATTTGAGCACACATGTCGTTGTCTGAAGAGTGATGATTCTTGAAAAAATTGGAAAACCCACTGACCGGATGATTGAACACTCTAAGATGGAGAAAACAACGAGATTGAACCCAAGGACACTCTATTGCACCACTCTTCGGGCACAATCTTATGCGACAGCCTTCTAGGACTTTCTTGCAACAACCATCGAAGACCTCTTCAAAGAGCTTCCGCAATGGAAATGTTGTCTTGCTGGCAACGGTTGAAGAAAAGCTTGACCTCACCCTCAGACTCCGGAGTTAGATTGAGAACCCTTCTCTATGCATTCAGGAAAAAACAACAGCCCAATTCACCTGCTCTTGGTCTACAGAAATGTGGAAAAACACCACGCTGAGTGAGGCGTTCATGACCAGGAAATGCTTGTGTTCAATGCAATGACTTTCAAGGTTTGCAAAACATACATAGAAAAACAAAAAAAACTAATTGTTTTGGATTCAGCACTCCATACATTATATTGTCATCTCTGCTGGGCTGACATCTTGCAAACAAAAGGCAAATTTTGCCATCCAGTTCGGTGGCGAAGTCGGCGGCAAAAGAGTGACTGCTAGCTGAGTTTGAGGCTGCAAAATCTGCAAATAAAAGCCAAGGTGATACCAATTTGAACTCAAACAAATCTTACCAGGGATTCAATGCCAACGAGACGGTACTCTTATACACATGTACATAGAGGTGTCTTTGGCTGTTCTCCTTTGCCTGGCCTCCACATTCCTGGTATATCTGAAAGCATGTTCACAGTGCATCTACACGATTTACAATTACATTTTGAAGTGATATTTTTCTGCTCAACCAGATGTTGTGGCAATCGCAGTGGCACAAAGCAAAGGACTGCAAAGGTACACTCGGGGAGATAGGCTTATCATTGCATTTTTCAGGGCATGTGTCCATAGTGTGGCGAAAATATGCACAAGTCACCCGTAAGTGTAGACTGGGGCAGTCCTCACACCCCCAGCGCAATATTCGATCATTCCAGGCGAGATTGGAGCGTTTAGACTGACTGCATCGATTCTCTTTGCTCCTTTGAAGACCAAGGGCAACAGTGTTCGGCAACCGTGTTCACTGGAATTGTGTGTTCGTAAACAGTCAATGTTAACATGTGATCCCTGAAGACTACAACTCTTCAGTTTCGGAGATAACAAAAAAACAGTGGATCTGTAGGCCCTCATTAACATGTTAACTGTTTTCCTGTCAAAATTAACTGTTTGAAAATGAAATTCCTGACACAACCCCGGACGGACATCCAGCAAACATGACTGGGTTCGGACGCCTATTGTTTGCTTTTCCAAGACTGTGTTGTGAAAATGTGCTCACATTATGGCCTCCTGCAGACAAAGTGACCCGAAATTGTGGAAAGATTGGTGGCGCTAGCAGCCGGCGACGCTTGTCCAAACATCTTGTGAATAAATTTAGCAAACTTTGAAACTGATCAGTCTCCCCCCTTTAATGAACCCTGCCCTGCACCTTTAGATGTTCAATGTTTTCTCCACATCAAGAGTTTCTGTTGATGTGGAACAACATGGCTACAGGATGCTGCAGGTTCCTCTTGTGTGAGTTCTTCAGATCTTGACCGTCGTGTAAACAACTTCAGCTGGCTGGCGCTCTGATCTTTCTGCAAAAGAGCTCTGGATCGTGCTCATGTCAGTTTGAACTATGTAAGCCGGAGGCCACATCAAAAGATTGCCATTTGGTGAAGGCATGGACGTCATCATGAACGTCGCTTCTTGCAAACTTGACATGTCATGCTAAAACAAAGCAAGGAAAAACACGTGATCAGAGGACTTCGAAGCATGCGGAAAGGTGAGTTTTCTTGTGGATGGCATGGACCCAACCCGCCCCAACCCAAAAACGACCGTAAAATGACGAATCAGAAGACTCAAAGCTGAGGGACGCGTTGTCGCAAACACAATGTCATTCCAAAACAAATCGTCGGAAAGAACTCAGAACGGTCGCAGTTGGCCGCAGCTTCACCGTCTCTTCTGAACCCGGTCCCAGAAACCCCAAGAACCCGTCTGCAGAAAACTAAACTCAAAAGGTGCCGGCACGATCAAAGACCACCACGCTCACTTGTTCTGGGCCATGTTTCCTCTCCTTGTTGCAGGTCGTATCTTCATCAATGGCCACATCCACTGCCTCCCGGGTGACAGCTCGGACTCGAGCCCATCCGCCATCATCTACTCGGCCGCTCTTGCGGGTCGATTGGCTCGCGATCACCAAGGGATCGGTTGCCAGCGTGGTGCCCAGCGATAAGGTCGCCCCTCCGTTGCTGATGCCTTTCACCACATTGGCGGACTTCAGAGCCACCATCGTCGCAGACCCTAGCAACAAGTTTTGAATCTTCCACGCGTGAACCCAAAAAGGCTGGAAAGTGCAGGTGGCCCCTCCGCTTCACAAAGTATATATGAATGATACAGGATACAGACCACATTCTACACACAAGAGACGTTGGTAGTGGTTAAAGATCCCCCATGAAAATCACATGGAGGGGTCAGTCCTACCCATTCTTTAGTGATTTCCTGGCTAGAAAATGAGGAATGCAGCTTCATGAGCCCGTGATTGGCATAATCTAGTGAATCACTAGAAAATGTCCCAAAATTTCAAGTCACACCTCTTGGACCCGTGATTGGTGAACCTGCGCTTGGCATTTTCTAGTGAATGCTCTGGTGCCTTGACGTGCGATTGTCATTCTTTAGCGCATCGTGCTTTGATCCTGCTTTCTCCTACATCATCTAAATGTTGTGAGGACGTCCAAAAGCAAACAAAGCATACAAAAGCTAAGTTGATTGAACAAGAGCTACTAAAATCTGTGTATGGCAGTGTCTGAGGATTTGGGTGTACCAGGTGCTGGTCGAGACACCGAAGCCACTAGAAAATGAGGAACACACCCTAAAGACCTAGAACTCATCATGTTCTAGTGATTTGGTCTGGCTGGATACCCTACCTTTCCATTTCTGGCCAGAGTGCCAGATATGGAATGGTAGGGTATGGCAGTGTCTGAGGATTTGGGTGTACCAGGTGCTGGTCGAGACACCAAAGCCACTAACACTAGAAAATGAAGTGCAGACCTAGAACCCATCATTTTCTAGTGAATTGGTCTGGCTGGATACCCTACCTTTCCATTTCTGGCCAAAGTGCCAGAAATGGAATGGTAGGGTAGTGTCTGAGGATTTGGGTGTACCAGTTGCTGGTTGAGACACCAAAGCCACTAGAAAATGAGGCACACACCCTGAAGACCTAGAACCCATCGTTTCTGGCTGGATACCCCACCTTTCCATTTCTGGCCTTTCATTTTCTTGTCCGAATGTCATGGCGGATAGTTAAAGTATAATAGTATAGTTGGATATATATATATATTTGTTGTACTCTCTTGACACTCGTTGAATATTTCTGAAGATTCAAATCGCCATGACCCGAGCCTGTGGAACCTGAGAGACTGTGAATGCCTTGCTCGATGGCGATCCAGCCCACTGTTTCTTTCTTCTTCACCTGCCACTCTGCCGGATAACAACCCGATTAAGACCGCTCCAGGGTGATGTGGGTCTTCAAAGCCCTCGATGAGACCTTGAAGACTTGGGGACTCAAAGGCTGAGCGATTTCTCACATCTAAGACACGTGTAGCATCAAGTAGCAAGATTTGATACCCAAATGGTGCTCCGCCTCTCCGTACTTACTCGTCTCAGACATATCCAAGGCGACCTCGATCTTCGATCCAACGAGCAGAAGTGAAGACGGAGACAGCAGCTGTGATAGTGTCTGGGGCTTCGGCCATAGCATGATCTACCTGCACCTGTTGCACAGCAACCTGAGTGACTTAGCCAAACTGGAGCAGATTGTAACAACGCAGAATCCATCGATTTTTCACCCAAGTCCAGCCAGCCCAATGATATTATGTTGGTCCATTTTTTCAGCCGTCAGCCGATCTGTCCGAGCAACTGTCAACCATGGCCGCGAGTTGGATGGCAACCCTTTCTCATTCCTCACCGTCTGAATGGTGGTCAGAAGAGCCGGAGGCTGTCCGAAACTGTGCAGGAAGGAAGTCCTTCCCCAGGCACTGGGATTGAGTCCTCAGTTCGTTGTTCGAGAGGCCCACAAACCTCCAATCCCAAGTACAATGTCGTCATGCTTGTCTGAGAACCATGCGGCTTGCCAACATTCCGAAACCCATGGGATTAAAACGAGCAAACCTGCGCCAACCCCACAACAGTGTTTCTTGATTTCTCGGACTAACCTGACCTGTCGTTCGCTTGTCCAACTTGTCGCCAGCCAAATCCATTATCCAAATCCAAGGTTAAACATATCTCACGGCCCATCGGTTTCACGATGTTTCCCCCCCATTGACGGCCCATTTCGCCTCACCTTGTGCATCTCTTCTTTCAGCAGGATCTCTTTCGATGAGTCGAGTCGCCGGCGCGTTTGCATTTCCTGCCAAATTTCAGGCGTCGTGTGTTGCTACGACCTGCCTCCAGCCAAACACCGTTGATCTGATGAACACCAGGCAACACGGCCAGGAAACTCACCGTCATGCGCTCACCTCAAGGATGGACTAAGCGGTGAAATAAAACAAAATGATTTATAGTGGCCTAGGGACGCCTAACAAAATTTTTGCAGTACGAAAGATTCAACAACCTGTTGTAGGACTGGTAAGGTCCTGTAAGATTGCGAGATCGATCGTGGCTACCAGAACAAGCGAAACTGATGGGCATTTCAGTTGCCAACCATTGAACAAATACATGTCTCGCTGGA